TACGTCATTACATCTCGACAACATGCCAATAACAAAGGTACACAAAATATATGCATTATGAATTATGAACTGTATAACAATGCAGAATACAATAATAAAGCTCTCAAGCACCTATACAAAAGTATAGACCATAGTTCTTGATAAAGGAACAAGCGCAATGAATCTTTCAGATTGATAAACAGACAAATAATCTCACAAAGACTTATACATCTCGCTCGTCATGCCTTCGGCATAAGCAACAAGATGGGGGGGTTTCTGATCTGGATAAATATTATACAAGTACAAGGCCTAAACTAAAAGCCTTTACTACTAAGAAAGCTCATAGTCAATGAAGGCTGCACAGCCCACCTCTCCAAGCTGCACAATATTTATGACAGCAAAGACACCTCTATAGCAGCAAGCTCATGACAACCAGCAAGCTCCTCAACCTTAAAGACACCATGACAACAAGCTCCTCAACATTTAATCATGGCAGCCATACTACTTTGGCACCAAGAAACCTTTGCCTTCACCATGAAGAAAGGCATCTTCCAAGCACACATCACTCCACTATAAATACATGTATCAACACTAAGGTACATAATCTTCTCCTACATAACCAAACCTGCTTGAACCATATCTGACTTGAGCGTCGGAGTGTCTTGCAGGTACACCCCCCATCGCGTTCCATTGAAGACCCATGGGATAAAGCGACCCAACTGCAAGATGCTCTGACTCAAGACGGACGGTTCCAGGCTTGTGTAGAGGAAGATCACATGATCGGCCCAGTTGTAAAGATTTGGTCCGATCACCTACCAATCGAAGTCTCTCTCCTATTTATAGAATAACCTCTCTTGCTTTTTTCTGATTTTTTTCTTTCCTTCCTGATCACGGCTCCCTAGTTTTTTTCTTATCCTGAACGTTATTCCCTGAACGCTTCTCACGTGGAATTATTTGAAAAGAATCCAACTTGATTGACAAGGGCGATGAAGGAAGGTGGTTGATGAAACCCACACAAGGGGGTTATTGTAGTAACAACAAAAGAAGCTGGTAATTTCTATTTACTTTTTTTTTGGTGGGGTGGGGTTTTGCAACTAAAATAGAAATAATACTAATAAAAAAGGACTAAGAGACTAGATAAAATAAGGAAATTTATTAAATAAATTTTACTTTTTATATTTATTTATATATATATATATAAAGTAAAATTTTTTTAATAAATTTCTTTATTTTATGTATATTATTTATTTTTTGGTATGTGAGGATAAAATTGAGTGGTTACAGCTGCTCCTATTTACTTATCTTTAGTGGAGAATATGAAGAACTGTAATTTTCAAATTATCATTAAAGAATAAGTAAAGACGTGAACTCTCATTTTTGTCCAGGAAACATATGCGGTGGTGGATATTAAGGTGTAAAGACAAAAAATGACGAGCAAAGAAGCTCAAAAGGTAAACAATGATGGCACGGGGGCCTAAAAGGTAAACATATGCGAGATTGAGATCCCGACTAAAATGGGAGAAAATAAGTATGCACGGTATAAGCTTTTAATTTTAGGTTATCAAGCTGTCACAACTAAAATAAATCAAAATTGGACTATAAGATTAATAAGTCGTCGCGACTAAATTAATCTTAAAATAAATAGTTGTGGGAAAGGGGACTCAGCTCTAATGAGTGTGTGATAGAGGACCCAAATAATATGGCGTGGGACCGAGGACCCAAATTGAGCTTAAAAATAAATGGTGCGGGCTATTTAGACCAAAATTGAGCTGAAAAATGAATGGAGTGGGGGGAATGGACCCGTCTTGGTAGAAATTTAAAGGTGCGGGGGAATGAACCCGTCTTGGAAGAATTTTAAAGGTGCGGGGGAATGGACCCATCTTAGCAGAAAATTAAAAGTGCGGGAGAATGGACCCGTCGAGACAAAAATTAAAAGTGCGGGGGAATTGACCCGCCATGACAGAAATTTAAAGGTGTGGAGGAATGGACCCACATTGACAGAAATTTAAAGGTGCAGGGGAATGGACCTGTCTTGGCAGAAAATTAAAGGTGCAGGGGAATGGACTCGTCTTGGCAGAAATTTAAAGGTGCGAGGGAATGGATCCGTCTTGACAGAAAATTAAAGGTGCGGGGGAATGGACCCGTCGAGACAGAATTTTAAAGGTGCGAGGAATGGACCCGTCGTAGAAGAAATTTAAAGGTGCGGGCTTGAACCCGTCTTGACAGAAATTTAAAGTTTGTGGCTTGATCCTGTCTGGACAGAAATTTAAAGGTGCAGACTTGAACCCATCTTGGCAGAAATTAAAGGTGCAGACTTGAACCCGTCTTTAGCTGAAAATTAGAGGTGCAGGCTTGGACCCGTCTTGAGCTGAAAAATTAAAGGTGCGAGCTTAAACCCATCTTTAGCTGAAGATTAAAGGTGCGGGTTTGGACCCGTCTTTAGCAGAAATATAAAAGTGCAGACTTGAACCCATCTTTAGCTGGTTTGGGCTTGAACCCGATTTTTTATCATGATATGCAATGCATGTAGAAAATCTTGAAAATTTCAAACTTTGAGTTTATTTTTTTTTCTAGCAAGCCTTATTGTGAAAATTCACTAAGTATGAGAAATATTCTGACTATGTTATTTTCCTCGAAAGTTTCAATACTTCAAAAAACATTTAAAGTCAAATTCATGCAATCTCAAACTCATTGACATGCAATCTAATTCTCACACTAGTGTTTGATTTGTACTCTTTCATTTGTGGATATATCTGACTTGTTTACTTCATGAGTATTTTTTCACAAATCTTGACGTAAGACATTGAGCCTTCTTGAACATGGAGAATGTGCTCATTTATAGCTCTTGACCACAAGTGTCAAACCTTCTTGACGAAGAGGAATGATTGAGAAGTCATTTGTAGCCTTCCTTATAAATTGAAATCCAATTAATTTCCTTTGGCCTGAATTGTTAATTTGAGAGATTGTCACCAAATTGTTAAATCATGTTATTGTACCTATATTCTCTTTCTTTGAAACATCATTCAACTAACATGCATAACTTCAAAAGGTTGAAAATGATTGGAAAACTTGAGATCTCAAAAAGAATGTGGGTATTTAAGTGAAAGGTGGTAGATGATGATACGAATGGAGGATCATGGAGGGTTAAGTGTTTGCCTCGGTCTAGATTCCTTTGTTCTTTTTTGAGAGATTCCTTTGAACCAATGGACATTATATCTGTAAAAGCTCTTTATTTGATGATATTATGGTGCTGCCCTAGTATTTGTTTTTCTCGATCCAGTTGAATTTCTCTTGAATGAATGAGTCATCAAAATGACCTTTTGCTAGAAAGCCAGTGTGAGTTTCCTTTTACCAAATTGTGTGCCTTTGACTTGCCTTAAAATTTGCCTAGTCTGCCTTTGTGAATTTTCAACCTAATGAGCTTATCTTTCCTTCTATTTTTTCTCATGCCTTAACTTTTGCTTAGGTAGCCCTTGCGGGTTTTCAACCTAACAGGCATTTTTGTTTTATTTATTTATTTTGTCTTCTATGGTCTGAGAAGATTTTTCTTTAAAGACTGGACCATATGTTTGTACCATGCTTAAAGATGTCTTCTTGGCAGATGCTCTCTTAAATTATTACCAAGAGAATTCAAGTGTAAACAGTAGGGAGAATTTTTCCCAAGTATTTAATGGTTAGGCCAAATGGGTTGCACCAAACTTTAGCTACAAAATTCGAAGAAATTGTCCCAGGGAATGTCAATCTTAACTAAGTTAATTCTGAGTTGCTGAGCTTATTGAGTTTGCCCCAGTGTATGCCAAACTATAAAGTATTTCTCTGAGAGGTTTTTATCTCTCTCATCATTTTTCATTTTTTTTATATATCAACTTGCCTTGACTTAGTGAATTTTTTTCTTCCTTTCCTTTTTTTTTTGTTTGTGTTCAAAAAGGATATTAATTTGAGCTTGTGTATGAATCTCGAATAGTTTCCTTTTGACTTTCTTCGTTTTTGGAAACATTGTTCATCATTTACGAGCTTAGAGAATTGCATTATTTCATCATATCCATGACTACTCATGCCCATTATAACATAGGAATCAATCAAATGAGGGTTTGACTTGAGAAAATTCTTAGAACTTGGAGCAGTGTAGGCATTAGGAAGGTTTTTGGTATTTTGATTGAATGCGTGTGACACATGTTTGTAAAACGTTTTGTGATCAATAAAATATTTCTGAATACTTTAGTCTAGATATAGCATCCCATCGCGTCAAGGGGTGTGAACTAGGATATTTCGGGTGTCTTTCTCTCATTAATTTGAATTCTGAATTTTCTTTATAGCAGTGAAAGTAAAATTGTTTCTGGTTTGAAACTGGTATAGTTGTTCTCTATTTAATTAAAAAGTGCTGTAACAATTTTCTGGTCATATATTTTGTACTGTAGCAGATTTACTATTCTAATATAAGTGTTGTAGCATTTAATTATTTTTCTGATCATCGGACATTAATCCTTTTCTGTTTTGTATGAGAAGTTAAGTTGCGTTTACTCTTTGTTTAAAAAGGCCAGGTACTTCTCTGCTATTATATATTATAAAGAAATTTATAGGGCATATAGAGACATTAAGTAAAATAGTAAAACTGTTATATTCATGTGACTGTTATAACTGAATTAATTTTTGCAAAATAAACTGAGGACCGCCAATTTAATTGTGTTAGTGTGCTGCTTGAACTCATAAGTTCCACTTTGTATAGCCATATTAATTTTAAAGATCTACTTGCAAAAAGCTTTTGAAAAAATTAGAACATCTATTCACCCTCCGTCTAGGTGTTTTTTAAGCGTCCTAAGTAAGAAGTCACTTGTTCAACAAATCAAACTTATGCTTATCTCTAGTGAGTAAGCATAAAATTATTATTATTCATATTATCATTGCAACCACAAATACACCACAAACACACAAGGAGTAGGTCAAACTCCACAGGAAAAGCAAGTAAATTAAAAGCAGCTGATACATGACCTTAAAAGAGGAAACTAAGAAACAGTGAGACATCAATAATGGGAAACATAAACGTTGTACTCCACAACAGTATTCAGAGTTTTAGGATCAAAGAAGTGAGTCCTAGCTTCTGCATATCCCTTAGCAAACCTGAAAACCCCACTTCCACCAATCACAGGCATCTCCCTAACCGTGTTATAAACTGAGTTCCTTCCCACAATGGTGATGCTGCTACCATTATACCTCCCCTCAAACAAGACAAAGTTCATAGCCATAAGAAGATCAAGCCCTGTCTGTGATGTAGATACATAAATCCCTTCAGATCTTCCCACAAGTTTTGAACTTAGTTCTGGTCCTAAGGTCAAAGCATTGAAGATGAGTGTAACCATACCAAAGGCATAGGCAGGGTTATACTTAGGGAGCGGTGGAACAATTTCAACTGAGGTGACATTGTTTCCACTAACGATGTTTTGCCAATAGAATCTGAAGTGGCTGAAGCATTCTTTCTTCTGCATGCCCATCATCTCGCGGTCTAGTGAACGCACGAAACCGGTTTCTTCTGTGGAGACAGAGGTGAGTGTATAGGAAGAGAGGAGAAGGAAGAAGATGAGGTATTGGGTTGCCATGTTTTGGTGGTTATGAGATGTTATTGTTACTCTAACAAAAGGTGGGATAAAGAGAGTGGACAGAATGAATGCAAGAATTTATAAGCTAAGATTGGGGAGTGTGAAAAGTTGGGAAGCAAGTGAGTTGGTGTGTGTTTGGGTACTTTCGTTTACGAGATATTATATAAAAACATGCAAACTTGACCTAACACCTTAGTTTGTAGAAGGGTTGATTGTAAACTTTATAACCGAAATAATATGCTACCAAAGTTTTTTTTTTTTTAAATAGATATCAACCGGTGTCCAAAGTCTTATTAGATTTGTCTAATGCAATTTCGGGTTTCAACCTCTATATTTTCTGTAAGAGTTATGACTACTATCCTTTAGGCTACTATCAAAGTTTTTATATTTAAGCTATTGGGAATTTGAATCATTATCATTTATTGTTTGGGAATTAAATTTGTGTAATTAATTGCAAAGTTAGCTACGAATGGATCAAGCTGAGAATATGCACTGAAAATTCTCATATTAAACTATATTTTTTAAGGTTTTAGATTAAAATTTGATGTTAAGGCTTAGTTTTTTGTTTATTTAGAACAACGGCAAAAACAGGCATCTTCACTTTCCATCATTTGAACTTTAAAAAACTTTGGTACGAGGAGAGATATTATAGATAAAAACGTTTTGTTTTAGAAGGAAGTCGTCTGATTCCATGGTTTAGAAAACAATTGGGAAGAAGCTTCTATGAAGTCATTGTGATGACTAGTCGTGCCTCATATTTAATTCTTTATTAGGATATATATTGTGGTAGTGTCCTGAATTTTCATTTCCTTATAAACTAATACATGTCCTGAATTTTAATTTCCTTATAAATTAAGGGGAGGTTATACTTACTACTTTTTTTTTCTTACTTCCTCTTACTACTAAATCTTAACCGTTGACTTCCGTCAGTCTAACGGTTATAATTTATTGGGTCACACTTATTAATTAATTATTAAATTCCAATAAATTATAACTGTTACATTGACGAAAATCAACGGTTAAGATTTGATAGTAAGATGTAGTAAGAAAAAAAAATAGTAAATATAACATTTCCCATAAATATGAATTATTGGTTTTTAAAATGAAAATCTAAATGTAAGTTGTGAATAATTAAGTCCTATTTATTTATGAATAATTAAGTAAGGATAATTTCAATAAGGGAACTTGTATATTAAAAATAAATTTATAAACTCAATTACGATACACTGCTTTTAAAAAATGGAATATTTTCTTTTAAAATAAATAACGTGTTTTACTAATTCAAAATATTTGAATAATCTCGAGTATATAAATATTTTAAAAATTTGTAATATTACCCGACTCGAATTATATTAATGAATATAATCTATAAAATAGTAAAGAAGAAAAGATATCAGAGCATTTTGAATTATAAAATTATACGGACAGAACATATTGGCAGAAAAAATTGAAATTTTATTTGTTCAATCATAGCACATCAAACGTTATCTACCATCACAAAAAGACGCCGATAAAAAGACAGGTACAACAAAGCTTTTATTTGATTAATTTAATAACTGAAAATTTTACTTTCAAAAAAAATTTAATTACTGCATATTTCACGAGCATAGGTCGCTATACCCTCAATGCCACGCTTAGTACATTTTTTTAAAATAAAATAAAAAATACTCAGCGTATCAATGAAGGTATAGCCGCTAGCGTGCTCATGAAATTTCCAGTAATTAAATTGTTTTTGAAAGTAAATTTTTCAGTTATTAAAATAAAGTAAAAGTGTGTGTCATTTTAAATGACTTAAAGTTATGTCATTTTAAAAGTGAGATAGACACAAAATTAATTTTTTAATTAAAATATAAATTAAAAAAATCACTCACTTTCTCTCCCGTGATTTTCATTTCTTGTGTCTATCTCTATTCTAAAATGACATAACTTATGTCATTTAAAATGACAAATATCAAACCCTTAAAATAAAATAATAAAGAAAGAAGAGTTAAAAGAAGAAAAAAAACAGATCATGGTCCCCTCAAATATTTAAAATAAGTGTAAAGATCATTTTGGATCCCGATAAAAAATACGGTCCTTATTTTAGTTTCTTATAAAAAAAAATTAGTCGTCTGGTCCCTATGAAATTTAAAGTGGATCCATTTTTGTCCTTTTGAAGAACTAATATGGGTCTTTTTTGAATTTGTGAGGGACCACAATTTCAACTAAATGAGTCTATTTTAAATTTCTTAGGAACCTCGAGACTAATTTTTTTTTGTAAGGGAATAAAGTATGGACCGTACTTTTGTTAGGGACTCAAAAAGTGCTTTACTCTTAAAATAATTTAAAATATTTAAACTTGCAAGAAAAATATGTATAATTAATATAAAAAATAATTTGAATTTAAAAATTAATATAAATTAAAAACGTAAACCACTCTTAACAGTATATATATATATATATATATATATATATATATATATATATATATATATATATATATATATATATATATATATATATATATATAGAGGTAGGATCCTTTGACACCAGTGTTAAAATTTAAATTTGTCCCTTCATCTGAAAGTCGTTAGATAAAAAAAGATCAATGGTGTCACATGCTTACAAATCAGAGTCGTTAATCTTTTTTTATCTAACGGCTATTGGATGAGGTGTCAAATTTGAAATTTGACACTGGTGTCAAAGGATCCTATCATATATATATATATATATATATATATATATATATATATATATATATATATATATATGGGGTGCATCTGGTGTCCAGTCATAGAATATAAGGTTTTGTCTAGTCATCACTTTATAACTATATATGTGCTCTTAGGAGGATATAATTATAATATTAAAGTCAATTTTCTCTCTCTTTATGAAAAATTTATGAAGAGAGAGAGAAAAAATAACTTAAAAAAAGTATGGACCGTACTTTTGTTAGGGACTCAAAAAGGGCTTTACTCTTAAAATAATTTAAAATATTCAAACTTGCAAGAAAAATATGTATAATTAATATAAATAATTTGAATTTAAAAATTAATATAAATTAAAAACGTAAACCACTCTTAACAGTATATATATATATATATATATATATATATATATATATATATATATATATATATATATATATATATATATATAGAGGTAGGATCCTTTGACACCAGTGTCAAAATTCAAATTTGACACCTCATCTGAAAGTCGTTAGATCAAAAAAGATCAATAGTGTCACATTCTTACAAATCAGAGTCGTGTATCTTTTTTTATCTAACGGCTCTCGGATGAGGTGTCAAATTTGAAATTTGACACTGGTGTCAAAGGATCCTACCTCATATATATATATATATATATATATATATATATATATATGGGATGCATCTGGTGTCCAGTCATAGAATATAAGATTTTGTCTAGTCATCACTTTATAACTATATATGTGCTCTTAGGAGGATATAATTATAATATTAAAGTTAATTTTCTCACTCTTTATGGAAAATTTATGAAGAGAGAGAGAAAAAATAACTTAAAAAAAGTATGGACCGTACTTTTGTTAGGGACTCAAAAAGGGCTTTACTCTTAAAATAATTTAAAATATTCAAACTTGCAAGAAAAATATGTATAATTAATATAAATAATTTGAATTTAAAAATTAATATAAATTAAAAACGTAAACCACTCTTAACAGTATATATATATAGAGGTAGGATCCTTTGACACCAGTGTCAAAATTCAAATTTGACACCTCATCTGAAAGTCGTTAGATCAAAAAAGATCAATGGTGTCACATGCTTACAATTAGGGGTGTTCGCGGTCTGGATTGGATCGGTTTTGAAGCAAAAAACCGTCCGATCCAATTCTTTCGGTTTGGTCATTACATCATCCGATCGGTTTGAATTTTTTTTCAAATCCGATCCAATTTTTTTCGGTTTGGATTGGATCGGTTTTCGGTTTTTTGAAAAGCCAAAAAAACAAAACTTAAAAGAATTATTTTTAAAAAAGTGATGATGTTTCAAAACATTTCAAAATTCAAACGGTTATCAGAATTGGTTCACATGTCTTGTACATCAGTTAAAGGCTCAAAGATTATGTCACAGCCACACAAAATCAAAGATTATGTGAAACGGTTACCAGAATTGGTTCACATGGATTAGAAGCAGAAGAACTGCAGAGAACGCGAGAGATCTTAAAAACGTTATGTCACAGCCACACAAAATAAAAGGCGATTGTTTGAAACCAACGAAAAATGAAGGAAAATATTATTGCTTCATCACACGAATAACGGGAAGAAATTTAGAAATTTGCTTTGCTATACCTTTATCATTCCCTTGATGCAAATAAAATCAAGTGTTATAGTACCTTTGTTATATGTTTATTTGGCTGTTTAACGGAAGAGACAAACGTTGAATTTTGAGAAGAAAGAGATATGCTACTGGTGCCAGAGTGTGAGTGACTGAGAAGAGTGAGAGACTAAGAGGACGGCAAGAGTGAGTTTGGATGGATTAAGTTTAGAACTTTGGGTGGGTTTAAAACTGATGGGCTAACGCACGAGTGGGTTTAAAACTTTGGGCCGGCTATTATTTGGGATAGGTAATAGGTATAATTTGGTAAAAAAAAGTTTGGATCGGTTTGGATTGGATCGGTTTTCAACATCAAAACCGAAAACCGATCCAATCCAGTAATTTTTTTCGGTTTTTTTCGGTTTTCGGTTTTTCGGTTTTCGGTTATTTCGGTTTTTCGGTTCGGTTTTTGCGGTTTAAATCGGTTTGGATCGGTTTATAACACCCCTACTTACAATTCAGAGTCGTTGATCTTTTTTTATCTAACGGCTCTCGGATGAGGTGTCAAATTTGAAATTTGACACTGGTGTCAAATGATCCTACCGCATATATATATATATATATATATATATATATATATATATATATATATATATATATATATATATATATATATGGGGTGCATCTGGTGTCCAGTCATAGAATATAAGGTTTTGTCTAGTTATTTTT